CATCAGGGACTGGGGCAAACATGAATGTGATAAACATTGGAAGAATAACTCAAAGAGAAGTGTGATACAGAGAGAAATGAGAATTGCTGCCATGGTTGGGGGTGAGGATGGCTCTTAGAGCAGGCAGAGAAAGGCCAGGGCATGGAACACCAGGGCATCTAACTGCTGTCAGTCTTCCACCTTTGTATGTCATTTCAGAAATTGATCCCGGCACTCCTTTACAGCCACCGGAGACTGGCTTTCTGCAACCTGACACTACAAGGGGTCATAAATGCATAACGTGCCTGCCTCTTAGAGAGTCAGAAGAACACAGGATGTTACCTGTTGGCACCCCCAGGCTGAGAAAACTTCTCAGCTTGTTCAGTCTGGAAGATGCCAAATAGCTTGGGCAAATGATCACGAAGCACTTTCCAGGTCTCTCTGACAAGAGATAGTAGATAGATAGATAGATAGATAGATAGATAGATAGATAGATAGATAGATAGGTCATGTGAGGTGGAAGAGGGGGCTGGAGATTAATACTTTTCTCCGAAGCAGTCACAGCTGCCAAAACTCTCATCCAAAAAAAAGTAAGAAGAATAATCAGAGGGAAGCATGCAAAATATGCCCATTCTGAAGATTTACATGAAATTATTCTTATGTCTTCCCAGACTTTGAACTCTACCACTTCAGCTTTCAAAAATCTACCCAACCATGGAAAACCAAGACTCAGTTCAAATAAATGAACCTGTATCAGCAGCTACACCAACAACTCCATTCTCCATTGCAAAAATAACAACAATGCTATTCTCAGTAATTATTGCTCATCTTTGATACAAACTCACAAATACAAGCAATGTTGACCCAGAAGTCCTAAAGACTTCATTCTCAGGGGAAATATTCATATTCCTACATAGATTAATCGGTGCCCTGGTTGTACTTCTAATTCCCTTAAGAACTCTTCAGTAATTACAACATGAAGAGCACATGGTGTAAAACACATGTATAAACCCAAATGCATCCCTGGATGTTCCCTCCACTTCAAATAAGCCTGTTACTTACCATTTGGTAAACCCTCTTCCTGGCGAGGGGCACAGCTTTTAGCTTTTAAATCAGCTATTACCGTGAAAGCCTTTTCCGTCACAGCTTCTAACAATCCAACTCACCACCTATTAGGGGTTGTTTCAGTTATTTTTGATATTCTGTGGAGAGTGTGAGGTACCCTTCCCTGCTTAGAGGGGAAATTTCCCCTCTTTGAACCTGAAATGCTTTCAAAGAGGAGAGATATTGCCTTTCAAGAGTTATAAAGCTGTCCTCTCCTTAAGAGCCATGATGGTGTCCAGACGCTCCTAATGCAGAGAAAAGCATTAGCTACTTACATTTCCGCCTAATGAGTACCTCGCTCATAGCTAGCCAAAGGTAAATGTCACAAACTTAGGAATTATTCCACTTTGCAGGGGAAAAAAAAAGTCAATCTAATTTCTGCACTGTTCTTCCTATCTCCACTAATCCTGCACAACACACGTGTGGGATATACATATCTCTTATTACTGTTCTCAAGGTTAACACAAATGGCACCTATATTTCTGCTGAAGAATTTGTCACTTAAGAGTAGCAGACAATTACAAGCAAGATGTTAGAGTAGGACATTCCTAGCTCTTCTTTCCTCCCACAGAGGCAATCTGGTAACTATTAAGAATTGAGTCTGAAGTGTTCCCCTCAGATTCATGTGGCTGGTGGTATTATAAGACCAGGCTGGAGGGAGTGGGTCACTAGGGCATGTCCTTTGTCCTAATTAGTTACTAATGCTGTGATGAAACACCATGACCAAAAGCAAGTTGAGGAGAGGGTTTATTTGGCTTACACTTCCACATCACTGGTCATCATCCAAGGAAGCCAGGACAGGAACTCAAACAGGGCAGGAACCTGGGGGCAAAAGTTGATGCAGAGGCCATGGAGGGGTGCTGCTTACTGGCTTGTTCCTTGTAGCTTGCCCAGGGATGGCACTGCCCACAATGGATTGAACCTTCCCCAACCAATCACTACTTATGAAAATGCTCCCAAAGGCTTGCCAACAGCCAGATCTTGGGGGGCATGGATATTTTCTCAACTGAGGCTCCCTCCTCTCAGAAAACTAGCCACCACACCCTTGAAGGTCATGGCTGGATCTACTTCTGGGCCTGTTCTCTGCTTCCTGGTAGGGGGGCCACCACTGCACCACTTCTGCTACTGTGACTTTCCATCACAGTGAGCCAGATCCCCAGAGGCAGTGAGCAAAACAAGCTCCCTGTCCCTTCAGCATGTGTCATAGGGACAAGACTAGTAATTGAAATGTCTTAGGTTTGAGGTTCCAGGGACACTGAGGAGAACTTTTCTTTGAATAAGAGATTCATTTGAATAATTATTAACATCATGGGTTTACAAAGAAACAGACAACAAGTCAGGGGATCTTTAAAAAAAAAAAAGAGTATTTTGTTTTGCTTCTCTGTTAGCTGTGATAAACACCATAACCAAAAGCAACTTGGGGAGGAAAGGGTTTATTTGGTTTACAGGTTACAGTCTACCATCTAGGAGAATTGAGGCAGGATCCTAGAGGCAAGAACCAAAGCAGAGGCCATGGAGGAACACTACTGATTGTCTTGCTCCCCATGACTTGCTTAGCCTGCTTCTTATATGGCCCAGCACCACCTGTCCAGGGTGCGGCACCACCCACAGTAGGCTGGGCCCTCCTACATCAATTATTAATAAAGAAAATGCCCCAATGCTGATTCTCAATTAAGATTCCCTCTTCTCAGATGACCCTGGCTTGTATCCAGTTGACAAAAAAACAAACCAGCACAGAGGATTATGGCTCATGGTACAGAGTGGCGGTCCCTTCTTATAGGTGTCAGAGGAAGGAAGAGGTTTTTATACTGGTGGTTGATAAGGAGGCCACAGCCGGGATCACAGTCTGGCTGTCCTTGATTCCCTATGGCAAGGAGAGAGGAGCGAATTCTTGGAAGGACTGTGTGACTCTGAGGATATGGAAGAGGGGCACACTGAGTTAAGGTGTACACATTAGACCAATAGGGGATGTGCTGGGACCGGTTGTTCCCTGATGCCCCAGGTTCTGGCAACTTGAGATCTGTAAACTTTCTTGGGGAAGTAAGAGTGGGCTGGGACATTTCCCCAGAGTCTGTCTATCTGGGGATCCTGGGACATATCAGTCTAGGGGCTAGACCTTCACAGACAGGCTTGGCTAAAGGGAGAAAGAACCTGCTTCAGGTAGCCATGGCAGCTGCCTCTAAACCCAGCACTTGAGAAGGTAAAGACAGAGCAAGTTTGGGTGCCAGACTAGCAGAAGTGCTGAGCTCTGGGTTCAGTGTGAGACCCTACTTACCTCTAATAAAGTGAGGAGCTATCAAGGAAGACATCCAATGTCAACTTCTCTCTCTCTCTCTCTCTCTCTCTCCCTCTCTCTCTCTCTCTCACACACCCACCCTCTCTCTCTCTCTCTC